GTCGTCAAATTCCGTCTGTTACTGGTAGTCAGATTGTGTGAGTGACAGGTAGTCAGATTGTGTGTTACTGGTAGTCAGATTGTGTGTGTTACTGGTAGTCAGATTGTGTGTGTTACTGGTAGTCAGATTGTATGTTACTGGTAGTTAGGTTGTGTGTGTTACTGGTCGTCAGATTGTGTGTGTTTACTGGTAGTCAGATTGTATGTGTTTACAGGTAGTCAGGTTGTATGCGTTACTGGTAGTCAGGTTGTATGCGTTACTGGTAGTCAGATTTTGTGTTACTAGTAGTCAGATTTATACTGTAACTTGTAGACAGATCGTGTTATTTACTGTACGCAGATAATGCTATAACTTGTAGACAATTTTTATAACTAATGGTGTGTCTGTTATTGTATCTGCTACTTGTGGTGATATCTTTCTGTTACTTGTACCGAATTCAGATTCAAGTATTCAAGTACTCAAGTATTATGAGTTTGAGATTCATGACTTTTGGTTTCAGGTTGTGTCAATAACTTATGGTCCATATCGGTATAAGTGTGTTTTTTCTAGCTATAAGCTATGTGACTTTACTTAAGGGTACATTAAAGTGTCAGTAGAATTATATCAATTTTATCTTGATCAAATTACAATCACGTTAAGATCAGTCGTCGTCGAAAAGACACTGGTGATCTCGTCTTTAATTATCACCCCGTGTGATAAGTGAAGACGAGATCACCCGTGGGTTTCCGAATATCAGATCAATGTTCCTGCCTCAATATGCTCACTTAATTATAATATACCTTACACCCAAACTCAATTTGATTTGTTTTCTTATATATGTTAAAAAACTTAATACTGTGCAGTAGCGGATCCAGGAATTTCGAAACTGGGGGCGCAGTGGAAGGCAGAGAGTCAGGTGGCTGTACTGAACCCCCAATGGGTCTAATACAAGGTCCTTTTGGGGGGTCTGGGACTGACAAGCTGACAAGTTCTTACAGATGAAAGGAAGCCGATCGAGTATTTTAATGATCGCTCAATTGCAATTGCACGAGTCTTATCATCAGGTGAGCAATTTGTTTCAGATTCTTTGCCAGAGATAGTCAGATTGTATGTTACTGGTAGTCAGATTGTGTGTTACTGGTAGTCAGATTGTGTCTGTAAGTGGTAGTCAGATTGTGTGAGTTACTGGTAGTCAGATTGTGTGAGTTACTGGTAGTCAGATTGTGTGTTACTGGTACTAAGATTGTATGTTACTGGTAGTCAGATTGTGTGTGTTACTGGTAGTCAGATTGTGTGAGTTACTGGTAGTCACATTGTGTGTGTTACTGGAAGTCAGATTGTGTCTGTTACTGGAAGTCAGATTGTGTGTCACTGGTAGTCAGATTCTGTCTGTTACTGATAGTCAGGTTTTATCTGTTACTGGTAGTCAGATTGTCTGTTACTGGTAGTCAGATTGTATGTTACTGGTAGTCAGATTGTGTGTGTTACTGGTAGTCAGATTGTATCTGTTACTGGTAGTCAGATTGTGTGTTACTTGTAGTCAGATTGTATCTGTTACTGGTAGTCAGATTGTGTGTTACTGGTAGTCAGATTGTGTGTGTTACTGGTAGTCAGATTGTGTGTTACTGGCAGTCAGATTGTGTTTGTTACTGGTAGTCAGATTGTGTGTTACTGGTAGTCAGATTGTGTCTGTTACTGGTAGTCAGATTGTGTCTGTTACTGGTAGTCAGATTGTGTGTGTTACTGGAAGACAGATTGTATGTTACTGGTAGTCAGATTGTGTGTGTTACTGGTAGTTAGATTGTGTGGTGTTACTGATAGTCAGATTGTATGTGTTTACTGGTAGTCAGATTTCGTCTGTTACTGGTAGTCAGATTGTGTTACTGGTAGTCAGATTGTGTTACTGGTAGTCGGATTGTGTGTTACTGGTAGTCAGATTGTATGTTACCGGTAGTCAGATTGTGTGTGTTACTGGTAATCAGATTGTGTCTGTTACTGGTAGTTAGATTGTGTCTGTTACTGGTCGTCAGATTGCGTCTGTTACTGGTAGTCAGATTGCGTCTGTTACTGGTAGTCACGTTGTGTCTGTTACTGGTAGTCAGATTGCGTGTGTTAGTGGTAGTCAGACTGTGTGTGTTTACTGGTAGTCTTATTTTTCGAATTCATGATGTGATCAATCGGTTGGCTTGCGTGATACTAGTAATTTGCATAAACGCCGAAGCCGTTTATGCATAAAATTATCACGCAAGCCAATCGATTGATCATCGTCATGAAATTGAAAAATAAGACAGTTATTCCTTATATTTACATGCTTTTGATTCCGCCAATCCACGTGCTCAAAGCCCTGCTTCTCCCGCCCTGCACGTGTTTTTTTGGAACCGCGCCAATACATTGATGGGGAAATAAAGTACATTTACAATTTGTAATTTTATCTCGAACAAAGACATTGGAAATGTAAATATTGATCGCTCACTTGCAATTGCACGAGTCTTATCATCAGGTGAGCAATTTTTTTTAACTTTAAAGCTCATACATTTGTTTAACTACGGCTAATACTGTACGTATTTTCATAATTTCTTATTCTACCATACAAAATTTGTAAGTAACGTTCAGATTCAACTTACAGTTGACACAAATTTGTGTAATGCAATACAGAAAAATGTTTCGTCTGAAATCTGCTGAATTGAAACACTGCGCCTGTCGGTTGTACAGACGTCTGTAGTAAATAATCATACAAGGTCGTGCACGTAGAAAGTGTGTTGGAATCAATATGTATTGTATATAAAGCTGAGACATCTGATACCAGTGTCCTTTTGTCCCCTATAATGAAGCATCAGACAGGCCCGGACATACCCTTTCTTCGATTCTTTGATGTATTTGAACATTCAAAGAGAGATAACCGGCATGTATCTCCAAGTATATCGATTTCCATGCATGTTCATACGAGGAGGAATTCGGTGTTATAATCACAGTGACGGAGTGGCGAGGACCCGGAGCTCACCCTCTAAAATTGTCAAAGTAATCATAAGTCACTGTTTCGCTGAAAAATTGTAAAACTGTCTATTTCATAGATCTCTTTTTTTCCCTACAAAATCTAGAATCCATGAGCTTCACAGGGGGCGGAGCATCCCCCTCGACCCCCTCCAAACTTCTTCAATAAAAAAAACGTTTTCATAGATCTCAAAGTAACCTTATTATCCCAGATACAAGGACATTTCATTCTGTAGATTATAGGTGCAAGTATACATGTAAATTGTGCATTCCTTAAGAATGTGCAGTGTTGTCGGTATGATTTTTTCCTAATCATTTTCAAGTAATGTAAAGAATGTTATTCAATATTTCTTTACACACACAAAAAAACCAAGTCAACATTCATTTGAAATAAAATTTAATGTTGAATTTTTTACGCGTTTAATTTATACCTGCTTGTGAATTTTTACATCTAAAATAAATTGAATATTTTACGATAGTGTATGAATAAATAGTCAATATCTAGTGTATGGAATACTGAATGACTCTGGGGTTTCATAATAATAATAATTGATATTTTCCTCATTAATGACTCGAAACACTGCACACTAAAGCTGACTTCAAATTATGTAGTATTTTTATGCAGTTAGAGTGATCTTTCCTTGGATTTAAATTAAATAAACGAAAACTACAATTTATTCATCAATTTTAATTATTGTAAGCATTCTAATAAATTTATTAGGCATGACAAATGATTTTACTTTATTTATATACAGTGAATTTTGCTTCGTTGTCCTTGCAAATTTTTCCACGGAGTAAGTGACAATTATACCCCGTGTTGAACTTGAAATACCCCCCGTAGATGTGCTCAAAATTCTCAGTTCAATACAGTATAATTTCTTAAGTGTTCAAAAAATATTTTTCTCTAGTGTATAATCTGAACCATATAGACGGAAAGTCCATGGGCGTGAACAGTAACCTGAATATCGTTTGTAAACTTTAAAGCCTATACTCATCTAATCTTGATCAAGACGGGAATGTTGCGGGAAAAGGTTTTTAATAAACTTCAAAACTTCATTTCAAAATAAATTTATCCTTAGGGTGATACCCAATCCCCCAGATCCGTCTCTTGTTCGGTCTAATTTGTGGCTATAAATGATGGAGTTACCTCGAGTCTTATTACACTAGTAAGTACATATAGGTATGACTTTCTCTGAGAGTTTTTTCATATGTGAATGAAGAACCTATCGACTTCATTCGTTCTTTCACCTGTGTCCCTGAGGCATGACTGGAGAAACAAAAATGCTGGTGTTTACACGGCATCAGATTGTTCTTCTTGTATAAGTGGACAATTTAAGACTTGTCATTGAAAATTTATTTCTTGCATATTTCTATCCCTCCCCAACCCCTATTTTCTAAATAAAGTCTGAAATTATATTAAAAAAATAATTTAATTGCTGGTTGCCACCCTTACCTTGTTTTTGCAAGATAAATCACTGGCAAATTTAATTATTTGAGTTTGGACAGTGTAGGGGAATTACTAGTAGTCAGATTTGTCAGAGAGGTCCCAATGTTTCTTAAGCTGTTTTAGGGGCCGGTCAAAAGTCCGATTCCTCTATGATATTTCATCATGCACCCCAGGGAACATGACTGAAATTGAACCTCTGCTAAAGTTCTATCTTGCCATTTATGACATAATTTATGATTAAGTCGTTCTTATAGAAATAAAATAATGCACTCATAGTATTTTTTCAAGTTCTCAATTACACAGCTCTTACCCAAAATGCTTTAGAAGGTAAGTTAATATGGAAGCGATTAGTGGAAATTTCTGACGTTTTCCAGGCTTTTTTTCTTAATTTCGATATTTTACTTGCCAGGAAAACACAAAACCGTAAAAAAGCGTGGAAAACGTAGGATATTCTTCGGATTAGGAATTGCATGATCCAGTGTATAAGTGGTTGTCAAGATCATCACGGCGGACTAAAACAGACTGAAAATGCAATAAAAGGTTTATTTCAGAAATGATTTTTGATTTTCCATACAATAAAATGGTTTATAAAAAAGGTAATTAATACAGATTAACTGTGAATTTTTGGCTATACGGAAAATGCACTTTGGAAATTTACATCCATTTTTTTACACTGATAATATTTTAAAAGTCGCTATACATTCAATACAATAATTGATATGTTAATTTTTTAAGCACTATGGAAAATATCCGAGCGATTGCTCAAAATTTGTCCCGGCGGTGTCCAGCACCTCGGGTCGCTTATTTGGGTTTTGCACGTTCATTTTGGAGAACATGTCCGCCATCTCTCCTTGTCTGTATTCCCCACCATGTGGTTCACTTGATCTATTTTGATTTTTATCTTGTGCGTATTTTTGGAATTGCTCGTCGTAAGACCAGGGTTTTTGAGGTTTGTCCAGACCCTCCGGAGGGGCGCTATGCCTGTAATTCCCGGGCCCTGGTTGGTAGTAGCTACCCTGGTCTCTGCGTATCACATGATCATAGTCGTCGTAGTCACCCCTGGGAACAAGGTCAGGGGGAGCATTGGGGTTGTAGTCTCTATCATATTTTGATTCTCGCTCATAAAACTCTTTTCTACTCATTGCATTATCATACGGGTCCTCCTCAGCGTAACGCTCTTGTTTGGGACTCCGTGGAGACTTGTTTTCCTCTTGTTTCTTTTGTAAAGCTGCCATGAATCCTGTTGGAAGCACTTTGACCCCGGCGACCAGATGAGGAGGTACTCGAGCAACAGGTTTGGATTTTTGATTTTCCATTTCCTGTCTACTCTCCAAACTAGATGCAGAGTATTCCGGTCCTTTGAACGAAGGAGGGCGGTCACGTGTTGGTGAAGGAAAATGTGGTTCATCGACAGTTGTCGGGGTACGAGGAAGACCTCGTTTGATTGGCGGCTCGTTTCCTAAATAACGATCCTCCATTGGTGATCTGGGACCAGGCGACAGTGCACGTGATGGCTTTGGTGCTGTAGCCGGGGGCACGCGCCCGGGTGACATGACTCGTGGAATCTTGTAATCATCATTTCTCGTTTCTAGACGCCCGCGTCTTTCTCCCGAGTCGTAGCTATCCCTGGAATACCTTTCTCCTCTTGGAAAGTCTCCAGATCCTTGACGTTCATGGCGATATTCTGACGACAGTTGTCGTTCGTGTCTAAATTCAGATGACGGATTCCGTTCATGTCTGAATTCTGAAGAAACTTTTCGTTCATGTTGGAGTTCACTAGATGGTTGGCGCTCATGTCTGTACTCCATGGAAGGTTGTCTTTCATAGCGATAGTCTGATGGCGGGCGGTCATGCCGTATTTCGTTAGAAGACTGTCGTACATGGTGAAATTCGCCTGGAGGTTGTCGTTGATATTCACTGGAATGTTCTCTCTCGTGTCTGTATCGTATATTTTCCTCGTAACTTTGAGGAGGAAACCTGCTGTCAAATCTTCCAGATGACGATAAGTTTTGCGAATATTCCTCCCGTGGTCCCGGTGGACCGTAAGGATCTCTCGGGTATCTGTCCGGTCCCTCTAATTCCGATCTGTAGTCCCTCCACTCTCCGGGTCGAGGGCCACGAAGGTGCTCGTCTGTTAAATGCAATAGCCGCTGGTCTTCTGCTGGTTGTAGAAGATCAGGACGCCGTGATGGAGGTTCTCTTTCAAAGTTTGGATCAGAGGGGGGTCTCATGAACTCGTGGCGCCCCGAATCCATTCTCGGAGATTGTAACATTGCTATCAACGAGACAATATCCAGTGCTTGATTTTCGTTATCACACACAAACCCATGGCACTCCAGAGCTCGCACACCAGTATTTTTTCTCATAACAAGCGCCAAAAGAGGAGGGTGCTCCACCTTAGCTAAATTGCTGTGTTTTTTGTCTAATGGTGTAAACAGCTTTTCCGAACCTGTATTAGGAGCACGATTGATATCTATAGGGACAAAGCCACCCTGATACTTTTTATCGTGAGTTTTCACGGTCGTGAATCGCACAGCTTCGTAGAACGAGATTGACTGCATGTCGTAATACAGTTCACTCCCTGGGGGAGTCCCCGCTACAATAACGGCTACGCCCCTATCATTAACATGGAGCGCTACTTCACGCAGGTCTTTGGACTTGTGCTTCTTTCCTGAATGCTTTTTAAACTCAAAATAACGATCACGTAAAGGTTTCTGAATGGTTCCTAGACCGGACGATGTAGCTTTGGCGAGAACTTCACTTCCAAGATACTGAAGTACGAATTCTCCGTGTGGCTCCATCACTAAATAGGAGGTATAATCCCAAAGGCGAGGCAAGGGTTCAACTGTCACATCTGCTTCTGTAAAAAAAAAATATAGATTTAGTTCCTTGTGTCACTACTTTAAAGATTTCTACCATAAACACTTATCCGTAAAATGATTTATCAATATAATATTTGTTTATACTTCTCAAGACGCACTATGATTGTTACCTATATGAGTCAAGTCATTCTTGCATTCATTGATTAGTATGACTTTAAACTTACGATTAATGAAGTATTTAACCATTTCATTTTCACCTAAGTGATTTTAATTCAAAGTAAAAATGAATTCAACGAGAAAATAGCTTTATATGAACTCGAAATACAAACAGAAAACTTTTTGTGCTTTTGTAATAAACCGATAATGTAATAAACCGATTTCACTAATCAGAAAAAACTGTATATAGGTAGTTATAAATAATTAGGAACCTTAAGCAATGCTGGAGGGTCGTTAACATTAAATATAGAACAAGAACCTGTCTCTATAATACAGGAACAACAGTAACAATACATCCTAAAAATATTTGACACCATTAGCGGCGTATAGTTGGTATTTTTCAGGTAAGTCTAAAGATATTCATTAAGTTCTCTGTGCTTAACAATCTCTACCTCATTTGCTAGCCTTGTTTTGATTTATACCTGTACATTCTATCTCAGTTTCCATTTTAAAGGGTTGAAATTTCAACCTACCCTATTTAATTTCATAAAAAGGGGGAAAGATTTTAAAATGCTCAGAATTCGTACATTAATATCTACATACCAGGCATTCTAAAATCTGGAACCATACTTATCACAGAAAACTGATCGTAAACACTGAGATTCCAGGGCGTTATGCGTTCTACCTCCATCATTTAACAACTGTAATGGCCGTATTGGTCAGAGAAGGAACGGCACCCGACGGTCACCACACACGTCTGAGGGAAGGGACACGAACCATATACTAGTACACGTAAACAAACTGACCATTAAATTACTGACCAACATCAATTGGGAACATTGACTTGTTATGATGGTACCCCGGGGCTACAGAAGGCTGTTCGTTATCCGTGTTAATTAACACTGTACAATATTAAGGAACCATTACATAGAAGGAAGGGAGACTAATCAGCGATCGAAGACTCCTTTCTCTTTAAGGCAAACAGAGCTAATGTACAAACAGTTCCAAATAGGGGCGTATTTTAAGTGTGCAAATCAAGATTTCAGCTGTTACATGCACATATATCTTTCATGTCAGGTTTTATGAATTGCTACATTCATTTAAAATTCATATTAATGCCGATATTAGATCTTCATTAGGGCATGTACAACGTAACTAAAGGTATGATTTGTAATTTTAGTGACCATGAACAAATTCATCGTGGAGAAGTTCAAAACAACTTTTCATGACCCCCCTTCTTCATGTTCTTAATCATTACAATCTTAATGTATGCAAGTCCAATTATTTCCCCTCCCTAAATATGCGTCGAAGGTGACTTACAAAAGGGGGATTCCACAGATAAGAACTACACATTTCGTGAAGTACACTAAATCTTTTAATGTTAAACTTTATCGCCTCTCCAAACTGAAAACTCCAGCAGTTTTGTGTTTTGTTAATTCAGTTTGACCTGAAACACCAGGTTTATGACTTTCTACAGGTGAAAATGTTTGTCAAAGCGAGAAATTGTAGACATGCAGTAAAACAAGGTATGTCACTTCTAACAAGCAAAAGAAAAAAAAATGACTATGAAATTGGCTTACATGAATATAAAGCATTGAATTCCTTAAAAAATAAATAGAACCAAGTCCAAAGAAGCAATCTTCGATAACCGACAAATAGAATTCCTTTTTTCAATAGTTATATGTCTTAAAGTCATAATTATATGCAATGTATACTTCTGTATGCTTTGCTGTGAAAAAATTCTTTTCATGTCTAATTTACATTACCAACACTCCTTTTGTTCATTGAATCATATCATGCAAAGTTTGTATTCAGAGTTCATACAGATTCTGTTGAACCCTTATAATTTTTTATTCAAGTTTAACGAAGCGTCCAATATCTTCATATCTTAAGTCATGTGATTTTGTATTTCTTCAAATCTTAAAAACCCGGAAGAAAATCGACTCATGCAGACAACGATATTCCAAAAAAATTAGCAAATATTAAAAGATAAAGCAGAACGAAGACTTAATCTATTCATCTTCAGCTCTGAATATTCCTGCAGTTGATTTTCAGTTCCTATAACATAAATACCCTGACAACTATGCGTTTTTATTGGAACACCTAGAATATTGACTGAATTTAAAGCTAACAGATCATCACACCTGGTTGTACAGGTATGAAGCTTGGGAGAGACTTGACCACGCCTCTTCATCACCTGTAATCTAAGAAGTTCCTGTACAGACACCTGGGGGGGGGGGGTTAGAGAAAAACAAACCCATGACATTTTTAACTAAGCACTGCTAGTAGCAAACTTAGTAAAACAACGTGTGAACGGTGGGAGTTTTCAAATATTTTATGTATTCCTTGCCTTAATTTATAAAATTAATGAAAATTCTGAAATGTGACCTTAGAATTCTGCAAATTTAAGAGAAGAGGGAAATGTCAAGATTTTTTAGTAGAGTATCTACTACCACGATTATTTAAGGAGGCCAAACGAGGCGCATTAATTATCTTAACAAACTTACCTGTTCATAATTTCAGAGTTTGTACATGTCCGACCACAAAATACAAGTTTTTACAAGGTAGGAACAAGGTGACGACACTATGATCAGCCAGATTTATACTTTGTTATCATGATCTGACACACCAACAGGATGCCTGCATAAGGGCCCAGTAAACATTCTCATTAAAAGTTAAATATCGTCGAATTTAAAAGCAATATATCTGTAGAGATTTACAACAATAAAGAATCGGTGATAAAAGACGCATTCCAGAAGCTTGTTCTGTCCCTAGCAGTGAGGGAAGTGTCGTCTCTATGTTCTTACCTTTGGGAATGTTTTCAAGAAAAATTATATCTCAACTACTGTGCAAAATGCTTTGCTTAACTTAAAACCTGACGTGGTGGTGGATATATTGATCATAATGTATGAACTCTGAGAGAAAAAAAAACACACAGATGTACTGGATTCAAAACACAGACAACGCAATTACTTAAAAACAAGACTTTTAACACCTTACCTGCATGATTAGGCAATGACTAAATAGAACGATACTTTCCAAGCGTTAAGCTCATTCAGTCCTAACGAATTCTGGACAGGTTGCTGAGGACCACAGATAAAGGACTCCTCTACTTTAAATTAATGTAAATATGGCGTGTGACAAAAAAAGGAATGCCAAGAACCACACACTTACTGAACAGCCGACGTTTAAATTTTGTAATGAATATTTATGGTTTGTTGACGAATATATATCGCCCCACTAGATATGGAAAATGGAAACGTTTTGATAAACTGCTTTTGCAGGGAACTCACCTTGATAGATACCTGGCGATTGGGTGTGTGCAGTTCTTTTTAATCCACCTTTATTGATTAAAAATCACATATGTGCAGCGTATTTTCATTCAATAATATAAACAACAATGGCAAAAAATGGCGTCTAGATGATGCAGGTAGACAGACTACCTGAGTTTTAAATACCACATTTCACCTGCGGAGAGGTAGTCCATTTGATTAACATATTAAAAGATTGAGCGCAAATGCTCTGGAAAATAATCTTAAAAACCCCCGATTCACGAACACATCTCCTTCCCTAAAAAGCCTGTCTTATTTTCAACCTTTGGAAACTAAATACAAGAGGCTCGGCTGAGGGAAATATTTTAAACTAATTTGCAAAAACACGGCTAAGAAATTGATTTGTTTCGGTTTAATGACCATACTGGGAGAGATAATACACATGTTTATCGACCTGTCAGACTACAGGTAGCCCCGAGACAAAATAGTCAATTCTATCGCTCACTCGATACCTAAACTGTCCAAAATCCTTAAATAACACACTTTCAAAATTCCTGGCTACATATAAGCTTTAATTCATTGAATAATTATATACAATACACTTACGCGGACATGCAAGATACAGTGAAAGAATTTTTGATAAATTCTGGTTTATGAGGATAAAACTGAGAATAAATTATAAACCCTCTTCTGAAACCTCACCATCCCAGGACTTAGCCGGGTATCATTTTATTGGTATAAGGACGATATTATATAACGCCTTTTTTCAATAATAGCAATACCCCCGTCTCTAATGTGACTGCAATCATAGGACGATAAACTCCATTATTGGAGCATTTATAAGCCTGTGTCTCCCGATACTCCTGAAGGCACCGGATAGGAAACTAAATCCGCCCTAATTACCCCATTTCTGACTTAGAAATATTATAGAATCTGCATTCAGTCTACGGAAATACGCGTATTGTGGTATTTTGGTAAACCAAAAACGAGAACTATGAATGCTCGCCTTTTTAGGAAGACGATTTGAACATTTTGTGCTATATTAAAATTTATAGAAAGGAAATTCAGAGGAATTCGAAGATCAAATGATGGAGATGAATACAATTTTGTCCTCAAAGGCTTAAACAGGAAAAACTGATATCCTAAAAGCGCACATCTGTGAATAGAATGTATATCAAGGTGTTGAAATTAATTCAATGATTCGTTTTAACATGTCCATTTTGCAAAAATATGAGTCTAATAAAAACAAATGTTAGAAATTCAGAATTTTAAAGTTATACGAAGCTTGTGTTCTCTGCCGTAAAATTAAACACTTTTGAAGTCTTCAGTTCATCAATCTTTAAGGGAAAAAATAATACATATAGTTTGAATATGTAGATGTGAGGTCCCAGTGTCACTTTGAGCCTTTGTAATGAATTTTTATACCATTCAACTTCCTATGGCTTAAGGAAGACCTCAATATTTTCTTAGGTAAAAGGTCAAGATAAATTCATATTTCTGAAACTTTCATTTCCGGGTGATACGTCAAGAAGCTTTCAAGCTTTTGCAGTGAAATACCAGATGATGTTGTTTCCTATAAATCCTTTTGGAAAAAATACATAATTTGCCAATATCACATTTTTTAGTGTTTAAATTTTTTAAAGACATTCAGAAATCAGTTTAGAAATCAGAAGGTAATAAAAATTTTGAATATTTTCCATACAATGCGATGATATGCAAAATAGATATTCGAGGAACGTATCGTCTGACCTTAAGAGGAGTGTGCGGGGCAATAGGGAGTTATGGTATTCAAAATTTTTATTACCTTCTGATTTCTAAACTGATTTTTGAATGTCTTTAAACATTTAAACACTACAAAATGTGATATTGGCAAATTAAGTGTTTTTTTCTCCAAAAGGATTTTATCATCTGGTATCTTACACAAATTCCTGGCAATATGTACCTAATTTTTTCGCGAAATACACAATAAAGTAGAAATTCTTCAATGGTAAAATCTGAGAAAAAAATATACTATTGAGGAACGTATCATCTATCCTTAAAGTAAGCAATATTTGTAGATGACAATTGATATTTTATTTGTTAGAATAAAGTATTTCAGGAGGACAGTGTCCAAAGATGATAACTGATTACATGATTATTTCCTTTTAAAAAGTTATCTTAGTATCTACGAGTACACAGGGGTTCGCGTACCTATCAATTTTGCCGAAATTTTCGGTAAATAAAAAAGATACGTAATACCTATAATAATAACACAAGGTGTTGTTATTATTATACGTATTACGTATCTTTTTTATTTAGTGAAAATTTCGGTATAATTGATAGGTATGCGAACTCCTGTGGTATCTACCAGTTGTTTCTAAGTGACCACTTACTCTATATACAAATCCTTTCAAATGATAGTTTGTTCTTCGACCCGAGAAAACGTAGTTGCAACTTTTGCTTCTGACTCCTAATCTTGTCGAAGTTTGAGCATTACACAGGAAAAAAACTTCCACAACGTGTTTTTTTATGGACTCGTTATTATAAAAAAAAATATCACAACATTTTAATCTTTTCTCAAATTATCTCCAATTATATTAGTATTAGGTGTCTTTCGAATTTCCCTGAGATTGCAATTTATCGAATTTTAATTTAGCTTTCAAATTATGGTTTTAAGGTGAGTCATTAAATCAACTGTGATCGGTTTATTGCATAGTATTATAGAATTTAATTTAATTCTAGGTACCTCTTTGACGTGGTGTATCGTATCTCAGTGGCTCAAAATATGGAATCCCAAATTGCCTTCCGTTTTCATCATAATCACATATACGGACATTCCGCCTTTGTCGTTTCTTATCCCTTTTCTGCTTGCTTTTGAAGCAAGGCATGTTCATTGTATTTTAGAATAAAGTATGTGTGTACACATATGACAATTTTCCGTTCATCATTACCGCTATTATATTACACAGTATTGTGTGGTGACCACATGTTACTCCGTTAGGGAGGTATTAGGCCCCAACCTAAAGCTCCACACAGGAGGTTTTTTGCGATTGATTTTGTTGATTATCAGCGTTGTGTATCTGGACAAGAGAATGTATAATTGATGAAATATTTCCCCAGCGTTTCGTTTTTCTTACGTCTGTATATAGTCTTTGTATATAACTTTAGTCCGACCTTTGATAATCATTACACAAATTGCTCTTATGTCCTTGGAAAGGAAGCCTCGTTAAAATTATTGTTTTCCCGGAATGTTTTTGTGTGTTCATTTTTTAAACGATTTTCCCGATTCACCTTTGTATTTTGTTTTGGTAACCTTCCTCTAGTTTAATTGTTCGTAATTTACACAGGAGGGCTATTCCAGGCTCCAGCCAGTTAAAGCGATTGATTCGGCTAAAAAGATCAATATTTTCAGAAAAAAACTGACTACACTAAGAAGATGTGTACACTTTACTCTAGTGTTCAACACCTTTTTATCATACAAGCAACATATAGTACTGAGTATATTGCTTCAATTTTTGAAGATGACTTTGTGAATCTTCATTAGAACTCATGGCCAGTTCTAGCACACTAGCACAGGGAAAGGATGGATTTGTTTTCATTCTGTTTCAGATTTCTATGATGTATATCAAAATGTATGTATAAGAAAATTAACGCGAGTTTTCATGTTGTTTCCAAGAAACTGTTTTTTTTTCAATTTAACTTTAAATTGTTTGTGTCACTTTGGTAATATCATTTTATACACCCTATATGGTAATATCTTTTTATGCAAAAAGAAGAACATTTAATCTTTTGAAATAGAAGACCCTATATTGCATGATTTGATGCAGTTATTATGTTCCCCAAACATAAATGGGGAACATATTGTTTTTACTCTGTTTCTTACTATTATTATTATTTTTCTTCCTGGGAAAATTTGTCCGCGAGTGATGTTGTAAACTACACATCTGATGGTGAAACCTTTTAAGGGTAAGAAGGCTTGTTATGTAGATTTGCGGAACGAAGGTCATTTTGCGCGCATGTGCTTACAAGAGCGTGCACGTGCACGAGAAATGGCCAATATAATTGATATAGGCGTAACTGTTTTATTTTTGGATGAAAAAAAAATTTGAAACTCATAATGTAAAGATATATTAGAAGTTTAGACAAGATTAAATAGTCATACATTATGAAGATCTATAGCATGAGATATAAGAATAATCATGAAAGCATACGCATGCACGTGTGCTGCAATGTGATTGGCTGAAACTTTAAATGCCTATAACTTTCTTGGTTCTCAACAAAACGGTATGAAATTTAGAATATGAATAGGCATAATGGATTCCTACCTTATGCAACTATCAAAATTGAACGCAAGGACATGCATGCAGGCACGTACACAATACGTAAATGACCACAAAATTTTGAAAAACGGTTACATTTATATTTTTATGACTTTTTTTATTGATTCTAACGATAATAAGATATGTTTATGGTTAAGACAACTTGCCATGATCATCTTGCATGCGCATGCACATGCATGCATGCATATTCAAGATGATGATGGCAAGTTGTCTAAACCATAAACATATCTTTTTCCTTTAAATGACATTTAGTTGATATCATTGTAGTTTTTATAATTCTTTAATGAAATCTTTGATACTGAGCATATTTTCTAAAAAGTCTACAGCAAAATGGCACAAAAGGGGAGTTGGGGAGCATTTGGGGAACATCTGTTACGGTCCCCGTTACAATTAAAACTAGTTTTTATCATTAATGTCCAGGGAAAAGGCAATGAGCTGGACTTAACCTTGACTCTAATATAAAACGGTCAAAACTAATATAACTGATACTGTCACCTAGTAATATTGTCTTCTTGATTCGTTGAAAATTTCATTAATTTTTAAATACAAGAAATATAGTTTTGAGTGAGAAGAATCCTACCTCAACTTCATTCAAAAATAAGCAAAGTGCCACAGTTTCTTACAAGTAACCTTGTTGTGTACTTTTGTTCTATCCATAAATGTCCATAATATAAACCGGATACACAGGTACTTGAGGACAGGAACCCCCCCCCCCCCTCTCCCATATACACCCCTGGTCAAAATATTTTTTTTCTTTATTTCTCATGAATTATGTTTTTAGTACTTTTTTACAACGTATTCCATATGAAAAATCCAAAAAATAACATAGATTTAAGTACTAATGCTAAAAAAAAGTCATACCCCTGGTATTATGACTTTTTTTGTAAATCGTTAAATCTATGTTATTTTTGGATTTTTCACATGGAATACGTTGTAAATAAGTACTAGAAACATAATTCATGAGAAAAAAAAAAGAAAAAAATATTTTGACCAGGGGTGTATGTGGGGGAGGGGGGGGGATCCTGTCCACAAATACCTGTGAC